AGTCCCTTGCACTAGACGGAACTTTCTTTTTTTAACGAACCGAACTTTCCTCCTAGGCAGAGCTTTCTTTTTCGATAGAGCTCTCCGGCAGGCTCTATCTACGGTAGCAGCTTTAGTTGCAGACGGGGACGTCTGGTCTTTGTTGTGGAGGGAAGACACCTGCGCCAGCAGCAGCAGCGGATATTTTCTAGTTTTTCTTTCTCTGCCTATACGACTAGCAGCTTCCACGGGACCAATAGCTCTTCGAGACTAACAGCTCCACGGGACCAATAGCTCTACGGGACTGGCAGTCTCTACAGTCCGACAGCTTCCTCGGCTATAGTCTCGACAGCTCCTTCGGCCATAGCCCGATAGCTTCCTTGGCTATAGTCTCGACAGCTCCTTCGGCCACAGTCCCGACAGCTTCCCTAGCTACGGTCTCAACACCCCCTCGGCTACGGTCTTTTACAAGCTCTTTCTTCGGCAGTCTCTTTCTTCGATAATCTTCGATAATTTCCTCGGCAGCGCCTCTAGTACGGCAGTCTTCGTCTAGCACGGCAGTCCTCTGCGCCTCTAGCACTGCAGTCTTCTTCGTCTAGCACGGCAGTCTTCTTCGTCTAGCACGGCAGCTTCCTTTGATTTTATTCCTTCCAGCACGATCAGATGGTCCCTTCGGCACCAATGGCCCGGACCAACAGCTCCCTTTGGCACCCACGCGATTGGCACCTATTCTGACCATCCGATTACGCACCTAGAGACTGCAGGCACCTCTCTTTTGCCTTGTTTCCCCCCCCTTTTTACTAGATTTCTCGGCAGACGATTTCTTCCTTAGCAGACAGTGCCGATAGACAACCTTTTCCGTCCCGGCAGACGATTTCTTCCTCGGCAGACGGTGACGGCAGATAACCTTTTCCGTCCCGGCAGGCGATTTCCCCGGCAGACTTCTATTGCAATAGACGACTTTTTTTAGCAGACGACTTCCGTGATAGACGACCTTTCCGACAGCAATAATAGCATACGTAAGAGATCCTTCCTTCCGCCCTTCCCGGCACGGTTAGTAGCAGCCGACGCGGTAGGCACCTTTAAGCAGTCTTAACGAAAGTATAAAAAATCCCCCTTTTTCGAAATACCTAAAATAAATAAGATAAGAATAGCAATCTCCGGTATTCTCCTCCTAGGCATAGGTATTTGCCTAGGTAAAGCTAGCTAAACGTAAAAGTCGCTAGAGGAAAAGAGGGTATAATTTTTAATTTTTAAATAAATTTTCTAGGTATTTCTTTAAGGACTTTTTCCCCCTTTCTCTTTAAGATTTCTTTCCTCTACCTTCCTTATTAGCTTCTTCTTTCCTTTGCCTATAAGGATCTCTTTTTCTTCTTCTATTACTATTTCTTACCGTTAGTCTCTAGTTAGCCTATTAGCCCGTTGCTTAGTTTATTCCTTAGTCTCCCGTTAGGCTATTTCTTGCCTGCTTGCTTGCTTGCCTACTTACCTATATGCCTGCTTACTTGCTCGGTTGCTTGCCTACTTATCTATTTCTTTATTCCTTAGCTATTGCCTGCTTACTTACTTAGTAGACGAGGGCGTCTATTTTTTATTATAAAGGAGTTTAACGGGGGTATCTATACCCTAAGGAATATATAGCCCGTATAGTAGAGTCTTTAGCAGGGTCCTTAGTAGGGTCCTTAGTAGGATCCTTAGTAGGATCCTTAGTAGAGTCTCTAGCTAGCCCTCTTCTTAATTAGATAATCCCTTAGCCCTTATTCGTTTAAGGAAGAAGGAGGGAAAATTTAGTCTATAAAAGAGGTCTCTTTTCCTCCTTAGCTAGTAGATAGTATTAGTATTATTATCTTTTTCTATATCCTCTTTTACTAATATACCTTTTTAGCCCTCTTTACCTTTACCTTATTCTACCTAGTACTTTCTCGTTTCCTTCGTTCCCCTTAGACCCCCTCGTCCTTCGGTATCTAGCTGCTACTATTGCTATTAGTATAGGTATATCTTTAGGTATATACCGTAGCTACTATTAAAGTAGCTCTAAAGTAAGAGCGCTAGTCTTATTTATATATAAACTAAGGGGTAGGATATAGTTTTTTTATAACTATAGGGCTCTAAACGTAATTATAAAGCTAGACCGTTACCCTTTACCTTTAATCTTAGATATACTTTATAACCTCTTAAAGGTAAAGTAGTTTATAAAGCTAGATATAAAATAAGTATTTTATAAGGTATAGATCTTAAAAGGTAATAAGTAAAAAACAGCGTTCTATATATACTATAGCTTATTTAAGTAGCTTATAATACCCTTTAGCCTCTTAAAAGCGCCCGCTACCTTTTAGTATTATATTAATAATATACTTTAAGACTTTCTTAATAAGTTCGCCTTTATATATATAGATAATATCCTTATTTATATAAGTAGCTCTTATAAAGACTATATATAAAAAGTATAGAGGGTATTAAACCGCCTTTAACTTTATAGGCTTTACCTAAACTAAAATAAGTATAAATTTAAGGTTAAGAAGGTTAAGTACCTAAGCTTTATTATTTATATAAGCGTAGGTATATAGGCGGATCCTATAAAGATCTAAGCGATTTAAGACTAAGTAGCCCTAACTATATAGATAGGCGTATAGAGCTTCCTTAGGTTCGTAAACTATTATAGGATATTTATTAAGGGCTTCTCTTATATTATAATACCTCTAAATAAGATTACTAAGAAGTAACCCGCTTTTTATTAAGAGCCTATATAAAAAGGAGCGTTTTATACGCTTAAAGACTTATTCTTATAAGCTTTAGTACTACTTTAATAAAACTTTAATTAGTTTATATTAGTTAAAGTAAACTATAGCGGCTAGGTACTTAAAGGAACGCTTTCTTAAGAGGTAGATAAGTAAAAGTAACTAATAGCGTTTTACTTTTATAAGCTAACCTTAGTAAAGTAGAATTATACTATTTATAATAAGAAGATACTAGCGATTATTAACTACCTTAAGTAATAGTAAGTAAAGCTTTAAAGCTATAAGAGCTTTAAGGTTCTTATAAACTATAAGAACCTTAAGTACTTTATAACTTACTAGTACCTCTTAAAGTAGTAAGCCTACTAAGTAAAGTATCTCTTATACTTTAACTTCTTAATTAAGTATAGTCTTAAGTAGGACTTTATAGTCTTAAATATACTTTCTTAAAAGGATTAAAACTAACTAATAAAAGTATATATTATAAGAGTCTTTAACTATTATAAGTTATAAGCTTAGGCTATAGCTTAAGCTATATAGTAAAGTATAAAGGGCTAAATCCTATATATATATATATATAGGCTAGCTATATATAAAAAAGCTTAGTATAGCTTATTAATATTATTTTATAGATAGTACCTATATATATACTTCTACTTACTTTATAATAGTATAAGCTATTAACTAATAGATTTAATAGATATCTCCTTAGAAAAGGTACTACTTTCTTAAGGGAGTACCCCGCTACTCTTTAAGCGGATAGGAAGTATTATAGCTATCTTAAAAGTAATTAAAAGCGCAATAGCTAGTAAGAAGAATAAGGTTCTCGCTATACTAAGAAAGCTATTTATTAAACTAGTATTAACCCCTATAACCTTTATAACGCTAGTTATAGCGGCGGTACTACTAATATAAAAGCTACTTTCTTAGCTAACTTAAGATAGTAAGCTTAAGTCCTTTTACTTTTTCTTTAGCTAGCTATAGATAAAGTTTATAATAAAAAAGAAATAGGGCCTAAATAGCTATTATAATATAGTATAGTATACGCTCTTTTATATACTACTAAAGCCTTAGATATAGCAGATCTCTAGATTCTAAGATAAGGGCGGCCTTAAGAGTAAATATAACTTATAAGGCTTCTTTTAATACCTTATATATACGTTTAGTAACGTATAAGAGTAAGAGAAGGTATAGGATAAGCTATAGACCCTTAGGTAGAGGGATAGGTAGACCTTTAGTAAATTCCTTCTTAACTTTAAAGAGACGCTCTTATAAGTAGTAGGAACTATAGTATAAGAAGATAGCGTAAAGCCTATATAGTTATAGAATTTAATTACGCTAGCCTTATAAGAGCTACTTATCCTTATAATTAAACCTATAAACTATAGTAAGTATATAAGCTAGTTAATAAAGGTAGTATAAAGCTATAAGTAGATATTATATTTTTAAAAGCTATATAAGTATATACTATATAGCGGCGATAGGATTACTACCTTTTTATAAGAAGAATAGCTAACTATTAATATTAATAAGGATACCTTAATATTAGCTACTTATATAAACTAAGCTAAACGCGGTAGGAAGCTGCTTTTAAATATCTCTTATATAGTCCTATACCTTAAGTAGTAAGTAGAGTAAGTAATAAGTAAGGAAATTAGGAAAAAGAAAGCTAATAGCCGCTACTTATATTATAGTACGTTTATATACTTTATATTAAAGTACCTGTCTAGATGCGGAGGACTTCATTATGTGGGGACATGGGCTCTACTGGCCCTACGCGAGAAGGAGGGTTTATAGGAGGGTCTCGGAAGACATTCGGACCGGGGTTACACGCCTCCCTTCATTCCTCCCTTCCTTCCTTCTTCTCCTCCTTCCCTCATTCTTCTTCATCTTTTCTCTCTCTTGATAGATTACCAATACAACAGTCACAGGCATAGCTCTTTAGCACCTTTGATTCGTATTCTCTATCACCCTGTGCACAGCACGAATACCCACGACCCAACACTGATCAGTGGTTGAACGTCTGTTTAACCACAGAAAGTTAGGTATCGAAAAGCATCCCCGTTTCCTCGAAGAATTCCTCGAGACCTATTTCTATAGGTTGCACCATAGTCCCGAGAGAGGAAGTTTGCAAGTGGAAGAGAAAGACCTGATTCCTTGAAGAATTCCTGAGACCTATTTCTATAGGTTGCACCATAGTCCCGAGAGAGGAAGTCTATGCTACACACACGACAAGAACCGACTAGACCAAGCCGGTAGGAAAGCCTTGACATCACAACAATCAACATGTCACAAGGACAAACAGAAGGCATAAGGGTTATACAGCCTCAAGAAGATGTACGCCTACGCCAACCTATTTCTGCTCAGGAATTTATGCGCGGAACCGACTTCGCGGCCGATTTTTCCGCTATAGACCCTCAGCTTCGATTCAAAGATATCTCAGTCGATAATATAACGGAGATACATGCAACCACGTACGCAGCTAAGGCCCTTAAAGCCTATACTCTTGAGAAGATGTGGGATGATGAAGTCTTCCATGCTTTCCAACAAGACTTTGAAGGATGGACGCTAGACATGTTCCTTATGGTTGAAATTTCATACCGGCGGGAGCTCCGCCGGGTTCTCCGCCGAAAGGGAGTATATACTGGGACGAACCACCAGCGAATCGAACGATCCTTGATTAAGCTACTCGAAGCCGACAGTTTCCCTACTTGGGACCCTGAGGAATTCACAAAACAGATATTTGACGTACGATCAAATGCTTCCTGGCAACAACAAGCCCTCGCAACGCCTTCTTCCCGAGAGAATATCCAAAATCCGACCCAAGACCAGTCACCAAGGGACCAGCCTACAACCCAAGCCCAGGCTTTGCAACAGCAGCAACAGGTTGTTTCCCAAGGACCCCAGAGGCCTCCCGAGCAAGCCCAACAGATGACCCCCCAAGGAACCTTATTCCAAGCCCCATTTTCCCAGGAAAGCTTTCCCCAAGACATCCCCACTCAACAGACCCAGACGAAGTCTATTCCCAAGCCCCTACTACAGTCATTTCCTTCAAGGCAGACCCAGCCTGACGGGCATCAGCCGTACAAGGCCCTGCCCCTCGTTCCGTTCGAACGAACGGCTTGACCCCGCCGTTTCTGCCCAGTTTCTAAAGACCTTGACAAAGACCAAAAGTACACAGGCGAGCCCTACGACCTCCTTGACGATAAGATGAAGATCTTTTTCAACATCTGCTTCCATGCACAGATCCGGGAGACCCAATTCTATGCGGTATTTCCTAGGATTCTTAACGGACGAGCAGAAACCTTCTACCTTCATTACGTCGATCAAGACGATACATTTGCAATAGCGTATCACAAGGTTAAGACGCATTTCGACACCGATGTTAACCATCATCACTATTACACCGACTGGACAACTGCTACCTTCGAGTTATTCGACCCGACCAAGCATCGAGGAACACGGATTTTCAAGTCACGATTAGTCCGAGAAGTTAAAGGAAAGTATATAAAGCCGTACGAAAAGTCTCGCCTCGTAGTCCAAGGCTATAACGACGACGAGAAGAACACTCTTTGACCCAATCGCCTACCATCCAGCGGGCTAGTCAAAGACTAATCATAGCCCTTGCCCCAACGCTCCTTACGTCCGGTATGTCCCTCGAACTAAGGGATATATCACAAGCCTATACGCATTCAACGACAGGACTTGCACGCCTAGTCCTAACCTATCTTCCCATCGAACTACAGGATAAGTACCCAAAGGGGACTATCATCCGGATCGTCCGCCCTCTTTATGGCATTGCAGAAGCAGGCCTACATTGGTTCGCAACATACCACAAGCATCATAGGAGCAGCTACGGATGTCGACTTCAACGTTCGACCCATGCCTCCTTATAACGAACACGGACCCCAACCAAGCGTTTGGCATAGTGGGCATGCAGGCGGATGACACCTGATCCTCGGAACAGCAGGCTTTTCTGTACACGAAGAAAACAAGATACAAGAAGCTAAGTTTATCGCCAAGCCAAAGACAAAGCTTTTAATTTCTTCGGCCCTAGACTTCAACGGCTGTACGCTTGCACTAGACGAAAAGGTCGAATTCACCTTAAGCAGAAGGGACAAGCTAAGAAAATCGCCCTTATTAACGTGGAAGCTTCTGATCGTATGCAAAAGTACATGGAACAACGCGCCCGAGGAGCCTATATCGCCTCAATCTGCCAGCCAGAAGCTACGTGTGATATGTCAACCGCGGCACAGGTCCAACAGCCCACAGACACGGACTGCATCACCCTCAACAAAAGACTCAAATGGCAACAGGACAACCTACAGAGGGATCCAATACGTGCCCCTAGACCTACAGACAGCTAAACTAATGGTCTTTACGGATGGATCATTTGCCAACAATAAGGACCTCTCATCACAAATCGGCTTTCTTGTTATGCTTGTTAACGAAAAACAAGAAAGCTCCGAGGATGTTCCTTCTTTTCACATTAACGGCAATTTGATCCATTGGAGCTCTACGAAGTGCAAGAGGGTAACCCGAAGTGTGCTTGCCTCCGAGATCTACGGCATGACCGACGGATTTGACATCAGCCTTGCTATTGCAACGACCCTAAGAATGATCACCGACCGACTGAATCTCCCTCCAATCCCCCTTATCGTCTGCGTAGACTCTTATTCCCTTTACGAATGCATCGTCAAGCTCGGCACAACAAAGGAAAAGCGTCTTATGATTGACATTATGGCTCTACGGCAGTCATATGAGAGACGGGAGATATTAGAAGTCCGATGGATCAACGGCAACGACAACCCAGCTGATGCAATGACGAAGGCGTCACCAAACAAGGCCCTTGAGCGCTTCATCTCGACTAACCAGCTGACTATCCGGGTAGAAGGGTCAGTCCATAGGCCAGTGTGAAACAGAGCGTCTCCTTGCCTTTTGACTTCTTTCCTTCCCTGGCCACTAGATTATCAACCAGCTATATTGTTACCTTTGTCTTTCCTTGAAAGAAAAAGTTGCTAGTGTCTAGATGCGGAGGACTTCATTATGTGGGGACATGGGCTCTACTGGCCCTACGCGAGAAGGAGGGTTTATAGGAGGGTCTCGGAAGACATTCGGACCGGGGTTACACGCCTCCCTTCATTCCTCCCTTCCTTCCTTCTTCTCCTCCTTCCCCTCATTCTTCTTCATCTTTTTCTCTTCTCTTGATAGATTACCAATACAACAGTCACAGGCATAGCTCTTTAGCACCTTTGATTCGTATTCTCTATCACCCCTGTGCACAGCACGAATACCCACGACCCAACAGTACCCCTTCCTTTTAGCTAAGTAGCCTATAGCTATTTAAGTAGTAAAGATAAAACTACTCTTTACCTTAAACGATAAAGAGGACTCTATACCTCTTAGCTTAAAAGAAAAAGAGTAGCTCTAGAATAAAGATAGGCTCTAGAGCCTTAATTACTAGTACTAGTAAAAGGAAAGGAGGAATTATCTACTTATATAAAAGAGGAGCCTACTTAAATTTAAGTTATAATTAATAACTCCTTACTTATCGCCGCCCTTATAAATAAGGGCTACTAATACTATACTATAGTCGATAAAGCGCTTATATAAGAGATATAAGTATAAGTAAAAAAGATTGCCCTAAGGTAAGTAAAGGGCGCCTTAAGTATAATAAAAGGTATAGTAATTAAGGGTATTATATAGCTAGCTATAAAGGTTAATAGTTACTATAAGCTTATTATAGCTTATATAATCCCTTAACTAAAGTTTCCCTTAATCCTTAGGAAACCTTAGTTATTATATATAGAGTTATACTTAGTTTTATACTAAAAAAAGCTTTAGTTTAAGCCTATATAATAGTAGATCTACTATAATAACGGTTTTATAAGTATAAAACTAATTATATAAGCTTTATACTTAGCTTAAAAAGTCCTTACTTTTATCTTTATAAGAACTATATAATAGGTAGAGAGGAAGGAAGGCTAAGTAGCAGCTAATATTCTCGCGTAGAGAGATACGAGAAGTGCATAAAAATGCACGAAGGTGAAATTGGAAGTAAGGGGTCGGACAGGCAGGGCAGAGATGTTTGAATCTTGCGGGGGCAGCAATTGCAGTAGGGGAGTGATTGTTATATTGCCTTAATTGTCCTTCTTTCCTCTATCCAACGCCCCTTTTTATACCCTTCTAGCATCTTAATTAATAAAGAAGATCCTGCTTAAAGAAGCTACTAATGTCCTTTCGACTACCGAGCTTTTTGCCGGTTTTTTCCCCTCCTTTCCAGCCGTTGCCGGCACATCCGTCTTATCTCTCGCCACCTCCATAGGAAGCCGTCGCCACTTCTGCTTCCCCTCATGCCCCCACCCTCCTTTCTGCACCTCTTTTCAGCTCCTTCTTCCTTCTTCTACACCGGGTGTTTTTCAGCTTCCTTGGTCCCTCGTGCTAAGGGATATCTCCGAGAACTGCGAAATTAGGCCACGCTTGACACACCCCTTAGCTATAGCCTGCCCCTTAAGGGCATAGCTAATACGGCTTCGGGCTGGTGAGCGTATAGAGGAGGTTCTTAGCTCTGCACTTCTCCCTTTACTCGAGGAAAGCAGGGGCCCTTTTAGGTCCCTGGGCTCTTTTAGACCTACTTAAGGAAAGGGGCTTAAAGAAAGGAAAGTCCTATAAGAAAGGGGGAAAAACCTAATCAAAATAGGGGGCCCTCTAAAGGGAAAAACCTCTTCCTTTTCTTCGGCTGCAGACGTCACCTTCTCGTACGGGCCATTAGCTCCTCTCGTAGACTCTCAAGGCGGGCCTCTAAGGACAGCTTCTCTCGAACGTCTTCTAGCCTAATTTGCTGTATAAAGACAGCTAGCTTCTGCTTCGGCAGGGGCTTCGTAAGACCGTCGGCTTTCATTGATGCCGTTGGAACCTAACGGACGGAAATAAGTCCCCTTTAGACCTCTTAGCGTAACCAATGCTGGTGGATATCGATATGCCGTAGCCGGGTCGACAGCTTGCTATTTTCCTCCGTAAGAATTCGTATAGTCTGCGTGTTATCGCATTCTATAGCTAACGGGGACGGAATTTACAGTCGTAACGATATTAGTAGCCGGCTAAGGAAAATCGCTTCTTTTAACGCTTCTAAAAGAGCTAGTAGCTCTGCCTCCGTACTAGAAGTCGTAACGGTAGCCTGCTTCGAAGCTCTCTAAGCAATAGTTCCTCTAAAAAGGGACATAATATACCCTTATAAGCTCTTTCTGTCTAAGGAATTGTCCGCAAAGGACGAATCGCTCGAATAAAGGAAGATTTCGGCAGCTTGTTTCCTTCCCTGCCCTCCTAGGCGTAGACCATATGATCTCGTTGAATAGAGATATAGGATAGCTCTGTCTGCTGCTTCTTGATGCCTAGGGCTAGGATTCTAGTTATGCCTAGCTAGCCGGGAGACCGTAAAAGAGATATCCGGTCTAGTAGAAATAGCTGAAAAAAGCAGGGAGCCCACCTTCTATTGGTATTGGTGTTTCTCTTGCTCCCTAGCTTAAAAGGACGGATCAGGCAAAAGCTCTTCGTCTAACATAGGCGTAGAGGGAAGCTTCTTATCGAGGGAATTAGGGAGGAATTTATAAGCGACCTTATTAATATAGGCGTCCTAGGAAAGCTAGATAGTCCGTTAGGACCTATTCCTAAGGATTCGTATCCCTAGGAACCACTTTAGCTCCCCTAGCCTAGTTATCTTATACCTTTGTTGTAGGCCTTTTATAGCCTCCCTAGCAGTTGCTTCTTCCTCTTTCGGGTAGGCCTAGATAATGTCGTCGACGTAGAAGAAGACCGTGATTTTACCCTTCTGCATTATATACGGTTCCTAAGGGACTTTCTTAAAGCCTAGGGCTTCGAGGGAACCTATTAAATGCTGTTGCTAAAGAAGGGGTGATCTTCGTAGTCCGTATAGAGCTTTCCTAAGCCGTAGAACCTTTCCTGGCTGTTAGAAGCCTGGTGGAAGGCGCATGTAGACAACTTCTTCTTCTTCCTTGAGTGGACAGTTAACAAAGGCGTTGACTGCATCCATCTGTTCGAGCTCGAGGTCGAATTCTACTGCTATAGCCATAAGGGTCCGAAAAGACATCCCTGCTAGGGTAGTTGCCCTAGTAGGAAGATCCCCTTTTTCCTATTAATTCCCACAGACAACTAGCCGGGCTTTGCACTTTTAAAGGAAGCCGTGTTTATTAGTCTTATAGATAAAGACCCACTTATAGCTAAGGACCTGTTTTCCTCTTGCCTTTTCCTTAAGGACCTCTTCGAAAGACCCTATCTCTTCGTGTGAGGCTAGGTGGTCTTTCTAGGCCTGGAAAAACTGGTCTCTAAAGGGGTGTTTTTCTAGCTGCTTCTGGTTTGCTGGTGGGTCCGTGAGGTCTCTTTTGTGTACCTTCCTTGCTGATAGCTGTGGCTTGAAGAGCCGGCCTGCTGTGAACGCTCCGTAAGAACCGTCTTCTATCGGCGTTAGGTAGAAGTCGGAAAAACGATCGAAATAGGGGAGAGGTTAGTCTTCTTTAGTATCCGTATCGGGCCCTATACCTTCCTTTGCTTCTCGAAGCAGGGATAAAAAGGCAGCCGGGTAATCCTTCGAGAGAGGTGCCTTTCCTACCCCCTTAGGGGTCGAGACGGGAAGACTAACTGAAAAAACTGCTTCTAGATCTTCTTCTTATTCCGTAAGAGGAGGCGTAGGGAGGTAGGCGTATTCCAGCTCTACCGCTTTCCTATAGTCTCCTTCTTCGTCTAGATCATCTAATCTAGCAGCTTTCTCTTCTTCTTCTTCTTCGAAGTCGGCGTTATCCTCGACTGCTTCGACGTCGGTTTCTTCTTCCGTTTCCTCGTCTAGGACCTCTTCTTAAGACTGTTGGGAAGGGGGGATTTAGATCTTCTAAATTAGCTGACGTTGTAAGTATAAGAGGGGCTGTTAATCCCTCTTTCCGTCGAAGAAGCTAAATTCGTCGAAAATCATATCCCTAGTCGAAATAACCTTCCGTAGAAGAGGAATCTAGATCCGGAAGATATTCGTAGAATTATACCCAACGAGGTAACTAACAAAGGCTCTAGAATCAAGCTTTCTTTTCTTCTTCCTTTTTAGCTATGCATCGGCAGTCATAGCGTATGCCTTGCAGCCGTAGGCACGAAGGTGGGCTAGCGAGGCCCTCTTCTTCGTAAAGAGCTCGAGGGGGGATTTCCAGTCTATTCCTTAGGTAGTCCCTCTAGGGGTCCGGTTCCGAAGGTAATAGGCGGTCTCAACGACTTCCCTCTAAAGGTCGTGTAGAAGCCTTGCAGCAAGTCTTATCGTACGGGCCCTTTCCATCACAGCACCCCCTGATCTTTCTGCCCCTCCGTTCTGGGCCTGGGTATTCGGTGCTGACGGGAGGGGTAAAATGCCCCTTTTTCGAAGCCAATTTAAGATATCCTTCGTAAATAGCTCTCCGTTAGACCGTATCTTCTTTACCTCGTAGCCGAAGTAGGATTTTATCTAGTTAACGAAGTCCCGGAGGGCAGACCAGTTATGCTTACTTAGGTAGGTCCGTAAGAAATAGGGGAAAACCATCCCTAAAAAGGCGTCTGTGAAAAACATCACCCTAACGAAGCTTTCCTGATCCTTAGAGACGTCGGTCCAGTCGACCCAAATTTCCTCACACGGCTGGTCCGGCCGTATAGGCGTTCGTCTAGAAATTCGTCTCCTAGTCTTCCCTTGGCCGCAATATTCGCATTCGACGGTCTTTAGTCCCCTTATTCGTACGCCCTGTTGTTGTCCTAGCTTATGTAAAGCTAAGGGGCCCGGGTGACCAAGTCGTGCGTGCCAAAGAATGCCGTCTCCTTGGGCTGCCGGAAGAGGGTCCTTTATGGTAGACCTATTCCTCCTAGCAGGGAAAGCTAACTTCTCGAGTGGTTCC